TTCAGTCTTGCTGTGATTTAGTTAACTTGGGTTTTCTGCACAACCCCTATCAAACTCAGTCAGTAAAACCTTCCCAAAATTATGACAGTCCCCTCAAGATTCTGCCTCTTTCCGATTGAATCCCTAATTGACAAACAGCCAGCACTCCTCAAAAGATACCTTCATTTTACATTCTCTCCATGTTTACTTTACTTTTAATAAATATTGGTCCAAATCTAATCTGATAATTATATGGTGTACTGGTTGAGTACTTATCTTTAATATGTGCACCAGGCGTCTTTGCCTTGCACCAACTGTAATCCAACACTTGGGATTGAAGCAGGAAGATTTCGAATTTGAGGCCAACTTGGGCTACATAGTGAGACCCTGTCTCAAACAAAAATAAAAATAAAAACAAACAGAAAGAGATTGCTAAGAGAAAAAGATAGGATATGACAATCATAATGGTGTTGGCTTCCCTTACCAGTGCCAAAACCCTCAACCCATGGCTTTGGTCCCATAAAGTCCCTGGCACCTTGAAGGAGGCATAAATAAGTTGCTCCACAGAATTTAGGAAATTGTACTGACCACATATCCATATCCAGAAAGGCAGGCAAGCCTGACTCAGAGAGAGAAGCTTTCATGAGGAGACTTTATCCTTTTATCTGTTCTTTATAGAATTGCCTCCACATTTGGCCTTCCCCTTACCAACACCAGAAGAAAAGGGGGCTGGGTAGAGGAAAGAGTTCCTCATATTCACTAATCCTTGGCATAGTCCATACAACCATTCCAGATTTTTCCTGCTCCAAACTTGGCTTTGATTTTTGGAAGTCCAAGTTGCCCAATGGGTATAAATGGCAGGTTATTCAAGAAAATGCTGCCATGAGAAAACAGTCAGATTCTTGCTTTGAGCACAAAGGAAAGTTTAAAACTTTTCATAGTCAGCTTCTTTAAGATAAGAATTATGGAACCTTCATTAACTAACAGTCCTCAATAATATAGTGATGGCCCCGATGAAGGTGATAATGATTTAGTCTGATCAGATATCATTGAAAAGAGTTTGAACTCAGTAAGGAAAACTGATGGCTATGGTATTGATGACAGTTATGGTGATTATAACTGGTTTAAGGAAGAATAATATTTGGCTTCACATTTCACAGCTGGTTACTGGGCATTTGCTGACCATGTTTTGGAAAATATTAAGGAAGGGAACTTGAAGACAAGGCTGGGAATAATGGGACATGGAGCTGGCAGCAACCATATAGAAAGATTGGTTTATGTCACAAACCTCCAAATCACAAGGACAAGGGAAAACTTGTAGAAATATTAGAGGGTTTGATCATGCTATCTGGCCTACATCAGGATAAAATAAAAAAGATAAGAGTGGTACATTAAGAAGAGATGAGAGGACAAATGTATTTAACTAGGTCAGAGAACAGATATGGTGGAAGTAAGGATGGGAGAGAGCAGGGGTTGTTGTTGGAACAGTGAGCAATACAGGATTTAGATTTCAGAGCAGGAAAGCGTCTAAGTGATTATAAAAAGGCCCAACCAAGAGTACAGTTCCTAAGAAATTCAAATTTTGGCAAGGAAATGAAGGGAACATTTTGACTAGACGCAGGTCCAGAAGCTTATCCCTCAGAAAAATCACTGTCTGATATATGAATATTGGAAAGAAAGAAAGGTTTTATTCAGTGGCCTAAGAACAGAAAAAAAGGAGTTCTCAATTTCTCAACTCCAGAGGGTTTAATAGGTTACTGATATAGGATAGGAATAATGAGGGTGAGGCACTGACTAATAAAGGGAGTGGATATCCATGTCTTTATTGGAAATAGGTGGAGATCTTCCAGGAGCTTGGTGCCATCTCTTTCAAGGTCTGGTGCTTCTGGTCATGGTGGCTCGTAGGTGTCATTAGCTTTGAAGCAGGGAGAAAAAGACACTAGGCAAGTCTAAGTCAAGTTAACCCTGTATTATAGTTCTGTACAAAACATTTCTCAGGTGTGCAACATGTCTACATGCAGAGTTGACTAAGATGTGACCCAAAGGTTAAGGTCACAAAGGAGATAAACAGAATAAGAAGACAGATGCCAAGCATTTACACCCCATTGGACATCTGCAGGCCAGCAAAAGTGGCCTTCAACACCCTGCAAGGTAATCTAGGCAACTTTTATCATACTCCACACAGCATAGGTGTTATTCACTGCACAGCTAGTGGGAAACTAACAATGTATTGTTCAGATGTGTGACCTCCAAATTTAGGCTTTCCCTCATTCAGTGAAGAAATTTTGAATGTGCCTTAATTCTAAGAAAAGTGATTTTAAAAAGAGGAGATTAAATTCAACCTGAGAAAGAATATATGGGATGGATGGATGCTTTAGGGTGAATATTTTGGGTGGTAATGATAATAAATGGAGTAAACAGAGCAAGGTGGAAATCCTATCTCCTTCATTTACTAGCTGTAGGACTTTGGATATGGCCCCTAAAACTCTGAGCACCAGAAAACTCAGTTTTCTGAGTTTCGGTTTTGTCTTTCATTCAGTAAAATAAATAAAGAAAAACTGTATCTCCCGTGTCTAATCAGAAGTTAGAAACCACTCAGTGGTTAAACAAAAAAAAATTTTAAATAGGTATTAACTACCAATAAATAGTACCCAAGGGCCAAGAGGTAGAGGTTAAAGAAGGACAAACTTGGAAGAGGTTCAGACCTCATTAGAAAAGATATGGTTCAGGCAATGACTTGCAATGGAATTTTCTGATTAGCCATGCCAGAGCTTCTCTGGAACTGATAAGCAAACTATACCCTTCCCCCAAATATAGATAAGAGAGCAGGCACTCAGCAATCAACTGTGTAGACATGAACTTGAATGCTTGCTGCCCGTGGGAGCAGAAAGCCTTTCACGGTGGGTGGGCTTGCAGAAAAAATAGCTTCTAGGTGTGACCCTGTAGACTTTGGGCACCATGTTGGGGCTTGCTGAATGAGTCCATCAGGTAGTTGCACACCAAGATTTCCTGAGGGAATCACGCAGGTGGCTGGCTGTGTGGGGCTCTGGTTTCCATGCTGAGAGGATGGCCATAACCTGAGGTTGCAAAATCAATGTGCATTCTAAGCCTATGGCCCAGGCCAGAAATTGCCAGAAAATCTCAGTCATCCATTATCCCCAGACTTCCATTTCTCATTGAGCACTCTGCTTATCTCACTTTTGCTCTTCTCCAGTTTTCCCTCTTCTTGTCATACAAACTCCAGCAACACAACCAACAAACATCCTCCTCCCAACAACTTCAACCTGAATTCTCTCTAGGGACAGACACCACATGTCCTGTGTGTGGGGAGGGTTGTTGGGGTAGTTTCCTCTGGAGGAATACAACTAATACAATATGCATGTATAATTATAAAAGGTGAATTTATCAGATCGGCTTACACAGAGTCCCACAATGGCTATCTTCAGGCTGGAGAGCCAGGGAATCTAGTAGTTCAAGAAGCTGCTCAATCCAAAAAGCTGGAAGTCTCAGTACAAGAGGCATCAATGATGCAGCCCCAGAATGAAGGCCTTGAAGCTCCCTAGAGAGTCACTGGTATGAATCCATGTTCAAAGGCTGAAGAAGCTGAAGTCTGAAATCTACCAGCTACTGCAGCAGCAAAAACACACCTGAGCTTGAGTGGGTGAGCTTTCCCCTTCTGCCACTTTTTGTTCCAGCCTATAGGGCAGTGCCACCCATATTCAGGGTGTGTCTTCCTCCCTCAGTTCAGGAATCCACATGCCATTGTCTCTGGAAGCGCCCTCATCTACACAAGAAGTATGCTTTACCAATTTTCTAGGCATCTCTCAATCCAGTCAAGTTACACCTAAGATTAGCTATTACAAAGTCTGAGGTCAGGCCAGCAACATCATCAGGTTCTGGTGAGGGCTGTCCTAGCATTTTGATGACCATCCTCTGGTTGTGTTCCTGTGTGTGTGTGTGTGTGTGTGTGTGTGACAGAGAGAGAGAGATACTATTCTCTAGTATTCACAAATTTATTACACTTTAATTTTGTACACTGTGCCCATTCTATCACCTATCATAGCACTTTTGGAGACAATTAATTCAAGGAGCTAATTTTTATAAATGAATAAATTGAGATCCAGAGAGAAGAAGCAACTTGTCCAAAGTCACACAGACACACAGCAAGCTGGCAAGTTGCGATGAGGAACCAGGTCCCTTAGCATTGCGTCCTTAACGACACAATGTAGAGCACCATATTATCCCATGAACCACATTGATTTCATGCACCAAGTTAGCTCTCTGGACTGTATTAGGTTCCACATACTATTGACTTAAGTTTCAATATTAGCAATGCATATAATTTATATATTCTATTTTGCTTATATCACCTTAGCTGTCTTCTGTTTCCGTTACCATGTTACTTACAGCTCTCATCTTTCACGTTGGTGACATGTATTCTACTGGTTTCTGTGATGCTTTAGTAGGTTAGATTATTGTTATTATTTGCTTCCTTCCCTGTAGAGGAACTGTACATACCTGTTCATTGCCATGTGACCTACATTACTTCTTTGTAGGAAGAAAATACTTCCCACCCTTCATCATCAGGCTTGACCACAAAACTTGCTTTGGCCAATGAAATGTGTGCAAAGATATGTGTGTCACTTCTGAGAAGATTTGAGTCATCATGAGTTTTTTTTTTTTTTATTGTTCCTTTCTCTCTGTCATGGAATAGCATATTCCAGATAAGGGCTCCTCCTTCAGAGTGGATCTGAAACTACAGGTCACTACCAACCCACAACTAACATGAAACATGAACAATCAATGAATTTTTGTTGTTTGTAAGCCACTGAAACAGGTTTGTTGTTATACCACAATGTAGCAAGTTAAATAAGGCAAACCTATTGGGTTCATGAACATTTGTTCCACTAATCAAATAGTATGTTGGTTCAAATGCACAATGTTGGTTGCTTATTTACAGATGCCTACCCTTTCTTCAACATTGAACATTCTACCCCAAGCTTCCCCTAGCTTTCTACTGATTAGGCCACTCTACCATGCCCTATCACCTTGAGAAAAGCCTCCTTAATGTCCTTGTTCCTCAGACTGTAAACCACAGGGTTGAGCAGGGTTGTGAAGACATTATAAAAAAGTGAGAACTTCTTGTCTTGTTCAGGGAAGTAGCTGGAGTTGGGCTTCATGTAGATGTAACCCGCTGGAGTATAGAATAGTGTGACCACAGTCAGGTGGGAGGCACAGGTAGAGAAAGCCTTGCAACGGCCCTGGGTGGACTTGATCTTGAGAATGGCCAGAACAATACGAATGTAGGAGGCCAAAATGAAGGAAAGTGGGGTAACAACCACAAAGACACTGAGGACTTGGTCCACCATCTCAATGAGATGAGTATCCATGCAAGCCAAGCTCCGTACTGAGGGGCCTTCACACAAGTAGTGGTTGACCATATTAGGCCCACAATATGGAAGCCTCATGGTGAGGAAGGTATGAATCAGAGAGAAGATAAAACCACAGGCCCATGTCCCAGCTGCCAACTGCATACACAAGCCCCGACTGAGAATGGCAGTATAATGCAGTGGGTAGCAAATGGCCACGTATCGGTCATAAGCCATGACTACAAAGAAGATGCACTCAGTCAGGCCCAGGGCACCAAACACATACATCTGCAGCCAACAACCAGCAAAGGAGATAGTCTGAGAATGAGCAAGAAGATGCACCAACATCTGGGGTATGGTGGTAGTGATGTAGCCCATATCTAGCAAGGAGAGGATACAGAGGAAGAAGTACATGGGAGTGTGGAGATATGTGTCCAGGCAGATCAAGGTGACAATGAGCCCATTGCCCAGGACTGAGCTCAGGTAGATGAAAAGGAAGGCAATAAAAAGGATCCTGTTGGACGTAGGTCACCGGAGAAGCCAAGCAGAATGAATTCAGAAACCCAACTTTGGTTCTTCCCTGGAAGCATCCACATGGCAAAGCCTTTAAGAAAATCACATTAATTTACATGTCATCTAATGTATGGTGGCTTAACAAGAATGCCAGATATAAGGTAGGCTAAGATTTCGATTCTGGACCCACTGCTCAGTTTCTATGAACAAGTGGCTTAACCTCTTGGAGCTTCAATCTCTCCAGCTATAAAATGTGGTTAATAGCACCCATCTCTCTGTATTTTTACAATGTATGTGAAACATATAAACTAATGTCTTCAAATACTAAATAACACACAAAATATTTGTATGTAATGTCCCTACTCTCATTCCCGACCCTGTAGTACACAACTGGTCACTTACAGATCTAGCAACAACCAGTTTATACCATATCAGCCCCAGACCCCAAACCTCTTAGACAGGCAGTTCCCCTCCCCCTTGAGAACACTGGCTGTGCTACATGCTTCTCCTCACACCTGCAAACATTTCTCCTTGGCCAGGTGGTGTAATATGAGGCTTTGTCAATAGAGGGCAATGGAGAGCACTGAACTACAACAGCAACAGTTGTTGGCTTCCAGTTGGCATCAGTCCACACCAGGTTGAGAGTCAGCAAGTAGTTCGTGGAAGAGTTGGTAGCAGTCACCACAACTGACCTCAAAGGACCAACACTAGTCATGCACCTCAGCCACACTGTTCCCATCCAGCAACTGCACCCTTGGCAGCTCTAGCAGGTTGCTTTCATGGCCATACTCTCAGGCAACTGTTTCCCCACCTGGCAGGACACTAGAGACCAGCCCTAGCTACACCATCGGACCCCATTCTTCCACCCAACAATCACCTCTGCCAACCTGACCACCCCCTAGGCAACACTTTCCCCACAGAATGGCCACTTCTATGCAAACTCTGCCCACTGGCAGGCTATTGCTCCTGTGAGTCAACAACTCTATGAAAGAGTCTGAATCTCAAGCATTTTTTGGTTCCTTTTTTTTTTTTTTTTTTTTGGAACAGGGAAGGGAAGAAGACATCTCTTAAATTTTTAGTTCCTTTAGTGTGTACTCTTTTTCAGCCTAGAGGAAGTAGGTGTTTTTATTTTTGTTTATTTTTCCCCTTGCTACTTCTGAATTGCTTCAGAGTTCTATTTTACCCCCTTTCAGTGTCTGTTTTTTTGTTTTTTGTTTTTTAGGTTTTTTTTTGTTGGACTGGGGTTTGAACTCAGGGCTTGGCACTTGCAAAGCAGGCTCTCTACCACTTGAGCCTCACCTCCAGTTCATTTTGCTCTGGTTATTTTAGAGATGGGTTCTGGCCAACTTTATGCCCTGGCTGACCTTGAACTGTGGTCCTCCTGATATCAGCCTTCCAAATAGCTAGGATTACAGGTGTGAGTCACCAGTGCTTAGCTAGTGCCCACTTTTTTACTGATTAACAATTCGTTATATTGACTTTTCCCTGTTCAAATTACTGGTCTGCTCTGCCTCCTGACTAAATCATTACTGATAAAGATGTTCAATCTGTAAGAAGTGAGTTTATAAAGAACAGAATATTTACTTAGTTGCAAGCTATCTATCCTCAAAGCATCAATTTTAAAAATTTAAAAATAATGAATATGCAGTAGGAAAATTAGACAACATCTTAACTGAGTGATCATAACTATCATCAATGAGGAGCAAGTAGACATAAATGTACCTCCAGATGTGAAATCCAAAGAATATACCATTATATGTCATTTGAGCTGAAAACATAAAACTTTAATCTAATCATGAAGAAACATCAAGGAAACCCAAATTGAAGAATGCCCCATAAAACTAACAAGTTTATAATCTTTAAAATATCAATGAAAAGTAAATATGAGAATATAACTGGTGGACTGGCTCAAGTTGGTAGAACTCCTGTCTAGCAAGCCTGAGGCCCTGAGTGCAAACCCCAGTACCACCAAAAACAAAAAAAGAGACTGTATAATAGACACAGAGACAACCACAACTAATGCACTATGTAAAAGGAGGGATGCTGCAAATAGTATTATTGTAATTGATAACCGTGGAACATGAATTGGATTATATTTGATTATATAAAAGTAGTTTTTCAATGTTAAATATCCTGAATTTGGTAACTCCTGTATAAGATAGCATCCTTGTTCTTAGGAATTATTCATTAAACCATTAAGGGGTAAAGGAACATGATATTTTCAAATTACTCTCAAATGGTTCTAAAATCTATAACAATAAAACATATTTATATAAAGAATTATAACATGTGTTACAATGCTAAAAATTAATAAACCTAGGAACTAGGCATATAAGATTTCTTTGTACTATTCTTGCAATTTTTCTGTAAGTTTGAAGTTATTTTGAAATCAAATTTTTTGAAGTTAAAAAATTTTAAATGTGAAATAAAAACTTTTTTCAGGCAAATAAAACATGGGATAATTTAAAGGGAATTATTCAGGCTGAAAGAAAGTGAAGAATCACAAAAATGCAAAAAGGAATGAAACAACCTCAAGGAAAGGAAAAATATGTGGATAAATAGAAGTTAATTAGTACGGCACAGTAATAAGGTCTTGTGAGTTTTAAAATAAATGAAAATTAAAGATCATGACAACAAGGGCATAAGAAAATGGAGGCCGTGAATGAAGTTAGCGTGGTCTAAGTAGTTAGCGTAATTTAGCATAATTGTGTTGGACTATAATAAACCAAGAATTTTTATTTTAATAGCTAGAGAAATTACTAAAGAATACATAATGAAGGTTTATCTAACAAACTACTCTTTCAAAAATGGACTGATAAAATATGCTTTACCCAAAATAATATTCTAATTGAGAGGAAAAAAAAGATGAAAAGGGTAGTTCAAATAAAAATACATAGAAAGATGGTAAATATAACTTAGGTGTATATGTAATTAATTTAAATGTAAGTTGACCAAAGATCTTCATTAAAAGACATTTTTAGACTAAGTAAAATTAAAACCTACATATTGCTTATAAGAACAACACTTTAAGAACATAAACACAACAGAAAGGCAAAACAGAAGAAAATATCACACAAATACTAACTAAAAGAAATATGTAGTTTCATGATGTGATAACACTTATCTCCAGTGAAAGAAGCAGCAGCAAATGTCCAACCAAATAATGAAATATTGATAATTTACTCCCTGTATCCCTGGCAGGACACTTCTAGAGCTCATCCCTGGCTACACCATCAGACCACATCCTGCATGTCTCTCCTCTCTACACCTTCAGACCCTTGTCTACACCCTCAGCATGGAGGAGAACCACCTCCTACAGCCCTGTTGCCCACAGCAGCATCTCCATCTCCTCCACATTTGGACTTGGCTCATGCAGAAATCCTTCCCTGACCAGTCAAATCACCTCCCACTCCCAAACCCACATAAGGTGCATATTTCTATTTCTTGTCTACTGGCAAATTATGATCTTAAGAATCCTATAGAGTTCTAATATCAGATACCTGGAGAGCATCTGCTGAGACCTCACAGACCCAATAACTTGGAAAAACTTTCTTCCTCTCCTGTTAACCAAATTCCCAGATAATGGAAATAGCATACCTGCAATAAAGTACAACTAAAAGAGTGAATTCATAACTTTCCTTTCAATAATGATAATGGCTATTTTAATGAGTAATTTATGTCTGCCAGGCATTATTACACTAACTTCAGCTCAACCTCACAATATCTCATTGAAGGAACTATTTTTGCCCACACCTTATAGGTGATAAAACTAAAGCATAGAGAAGCAAGTGGCTTCTTCCAGATTACATGGTGGTATGGTGGACCTTGGATTTGAATTGAGGCAAACTTACTTTAAAGCATATTCTTAATCATCACCTTCTCCTACCTCCAGCAACCAGTCTCTTAAGTAGAAAAAGTGAAGAATGCAAATTTCCCCCATTGGCACATGAATTTGAGCTTATTGAGGTTTAACATGGGATACTATAGAATCATGGTCTATGTGGAATTCAGAGGGGGAGGTAAGGTGACCATACAAGATTGTACCAGAACCCTCCCAGGACATAGGACTGAAGTGGTAGGGACAAACCACTTCTGTTTACAAGATTGCCTCCATCAGTACTTGAATGTGGGAGGCTATGGGGTTGTATTGAAAGAGAATCAATGGAAGGAGAGTTGGGAACTTATGACCATCTGGGGTTTAGTAAATTTTTGTAAAAGCCTCTCTCTCTGAGTCAAACTTAATTTTCCATGAGATGGGGGACACCATCTAGTCCACAAAGTCTTCCAAGATTTTCCAGCCCAGCAGTCTCTGTGTTCACTTACAATACCCCAGACTCCTAAAGAGCCTGGAGGTGGGTCTCTGGGACAGTAGAAGGCTCCTTCCAGGATGTGGACCATCACTGTCCTTTCATGAATGTGTCTTTCCACTTAACTTGAATACCTTTAAGTTTAAGTCATTGTATTATTTGCTTCCTTGTTTCTACTACCTAGAATATGACTTGATTCAGAGAACTACAGTAAAAAATAATAAATGAATAAAATAAGGACCAGGAAGGAGGAACAAATGAGAGGGGGTTGAGATACAAGGTGGTTAGGAAAGAACAGTGGGCAGTGAGGGAAGGGCTAGAGAGGTGTTGAGATGTAGGCACACAGAGGACCTGGGGATGGATGGCTTGGCTACTTCTGACCTCCAACCCCACAGATGCCTGGGATCCTACCCACAGCCCCAAGCATCTTATTCCCCATGGATCCACTGAAAGGTTGTTCTTTGCTTTTAAGGAAAAGAAACTAACCAGGAAGTTTCTTTGGCAACTGAGTCCAGGGACTCAGAATTCTAGTTAGCCCAGTCTCCAGAAAAGCCCAAGGTTTCTGAGAGTCAGGGACTGCGCTCCTGCCTTTTCTCTATGGAGGTGCTCTCTGCACCCGGCCAAACCAACCCTGACTCCTGAAGACCTTGACCATTGGGTCTTTGGATGCTGATGGAGAAGACTCAACCATTTCAGCCCCTCCCAGTGAGACAAGCTGCTAAGGTTTTATGGTCCTGCCTCTTCATCTGGCCTTCCTGGGAGACCGAGGGGGGGGT